CTCTGTCTTCAAATAGTGATGAAGAATGTTTTTGGTGAATAGGGTTCCAGTTATTTTTACATTCTTATATAAATGAAATAGTCATAAATGTGATCATCTTGTAGATACTCTTTTTGTTGGGGGGGGCGGTTACCAGGGATGAACTCAGGGGCACTCAATTACTAAGCCACATCCCAGCCCTATTTTGTATTTTATTTACAGATTGGGTCTCACTGAGTTGCTTAACGCCTCACTGTTGCTGAGACTGGCTTTGAACTCGTGATCGATCCTTCTGCCTCAGTCTCTGGAGTCACTGGAATTACAGGCGTGTGCCACTGCACCTCTTTTAGACTACTTTTAAGACTTAATCTTATTTAAATTTTTAGGAAGATTTTTTCCATTTCAGTTTATAGTGTTTTTAATGGCTGCATAGTTATTCAGTTGTAAGAATATATGCAGATCTTATTCAGTCAATTCTGGATGTTCAGGTTGTTGAAAATTTCACTTTTCTACTTTTACAAACAATGCTGCAATAAAAATGTGTATACAGATATCTTTGCACATTGTCATACTTATTGTCTAGTATAAAATTCTAGAATTGCTTTTGATAGAGATTTAAAAAAAATTCTTTAGAAAGATTAATTAAATGACATTCAATAATCCCTTTTCATACTCTACGGTGCCAATCTTAGTTGGACTTAGTATTTAATGTCCAATTTCTTTTTCCAATTTTATAGGTAGAAATTGCATTTTGTTATTTTAAGTTGGCCATCTTTGATTATTTATCATATGAATATTTTCTTAAGTTTCTTTACCATATTTTTTGATGTTTTAGTTCTAGAAATGAAATCAGTATGATTTGAAATCCTAAGGACTGCATAAATTGTGGAGTTCTGCATTGATTTTTTTTCAATTCCTTACTAATTTTTCTGATTTTATACTGTTTTCATTAATGCACAAGAGTCAGGTTTGCATTTCAAGAGTGCCTTTTCCATTAGAAATAAAGTAGCAGTTTCCATCGACCTTGAAGTCCTTTGAATTTGTATTTTTATTTAAAAAATGAAACCACAGTCCAAGTTTCATTTCTCATTTACTACTTCTCTACCTGAGTTGTCAGTTTTGGTTTTGCTCTAAACTGAGGGTAAAGGAGAGGGCATCTCATTAAATCACTGTATCTGGGCAAGGTTCTTGTAAAGTTATCTACTTTACTTTGCATATTTTTTTAAGTTTGTCATTTCAAAATAAATATGACCAAATGCTGTTTAAGATGTGTACTTGTGTTTAAATAATCTATTGAGTCTAAAAATTTTAAGAACAGTGATAGTATTTTCAGTTGGGGATGTCAATGTGAACACTTCTTTAAGGAAATGCAACATTTAGGAAATAACCCTACTGAAATGGCAGTTACATGAAATGACTTCTATATGGACAAAGTATGGGCTTTTCCGTAAGCATTGGAAAAAGACTAAAGAAAGTTACTTGACTTTAATTTTCTTTTTACATTATTAGGCTCTTCTTGAGAGTCAGTACTTCATTCTTTAATTAAACAAACAAGTAAGTATGTGAATTGTAAACTCCAGGAAGAAACAACTTCTACCTCTTTAAATATTAAAATCCAATAAAATGCTGGATGAATAATAGATTACAGGTAGTTAAAACTGATTGTGTTGCAGGGTATTTGTTTAAACTTTGAGTAGGAAATTTTAATCGATTTATTCTTTTTGTAAATATTGATATATTTATACATGTTATTATGTTTTGTGTTTTCTATTTGCTTTTTTTTCTTTGTTTTGTATTCTCCTTGAATTATATATTCTGTCAGCTGGATATAAAATAACCATATTTAGCTGAACTACTTACTTTAGTCTGAATATTAGTAACAAAATCCAATGTAAGCTTATTGGTTATGCTTGTACATGGTATGCGTGTGTATTTGTGTGTATATGTATATAAAAGAAAGGAAGCCATTTTGAATGAGGTGACTGAAATATAAATTTACCAGTTGCAATTAGGAGATTTAACAAACTTACAGCTGTCATAATGTATTGTGCACAAGAGATACTTTGCATTCAGTTTCACGTGTGAGACTTTTAACGGTTTTCAAGGAACTCTACAGGTCTACAGCATAAACAGCATAAACCCAAACCACTGACCCAATCCTTGCAATGAGGAATGAATCACTTAGCTAGTGAGTCAGATCGAATGCTTAGGATTGACACCTTAATTCAACTTTTATTTCCTATACATCAGGCAGTAGCTCTGGAATTTTACATTCTGCTAAATCTCTATGGAGTAGATCATATGTTATCATGGAATTGGCAAATTTAGGGATTTATGAAGGTTTTGCAATTGACAATTATTAAATACAAAGGGTCTTTATAAGTGAAAGAGCAGAGTAGCTTGCTGAGGTCTTTGTCACCTTCTATATTCTGTGTAATTAAGAGCAAATAGCAAGAGCGCATTTATTGATACAGATCACAAATACACCAGCAAGAAGAACTTTTTCAACTTTACTGTGAGTTGATAGTAAGATGGAAATGAAATCTTAATAATCAGAATTGATAGGAACTCAGATAAAAATGTTAAATTTCTTATCAATGTTGATAAACATGAAGTGTTCACTGATGAAGCCACATTTTGTTAACCTGGGTGCAGTTGGAAATTAGTTGATTATTGAGTCTTTTTAATTAGCAAATAAGAAAATCACTAAATATAATGTCAGACTGGTGACATCCTTTACTAGGTATGCAAAGAATCATAAACATGATATGAACTTGTAATACAAATGCTTTAAGTGGGCCATTTGTGTAACTTAGCCCCAATTCCATCACATAATGCCAAATCTACAAGTTTCATGTATTTAAAGTACCTTTGGATCTTAGAGATTTGGTATTCAGATACATGAACTAAGAATTTTTTAGTTTAATAATGTCTTCAGAACTAACAGAATACTTTATCTCTCAGTGTTAGGTTAATAAATGTACATTTTATATGAGTTTATATTTTATTCAGTCCTAAGAATCTTTATTAGTAGTCTGATACATTGGGTGAACAAAGTAGAAGTTGTTTTTTTCCTTTTTGATGTTGTAGTTTTATCTTAGGATGCAATTCTCATTTATCAAGTTCATTTAGGAAATGTAGCTCTGTTAAGAAACTGACAAAGTCAACAAGAGGGATGAGGGCAACTCATCTTAAGGTATGTTTACATCTGTGATATAAAACCTGGTCACTAGTAATGTTGCTTATCCCTGCACACTTAAATATAAATCCTAGTCATTACTGCTTACTCCTGGAATTGATAAAAACAAAGACTGTTAACTTAAAGAAAAGAACCAGTTTTTATTTGCAGGGGGAAATCCAATGCACATCAGCCTTTGTGGAAGGCAAAAGGGAATTTGCAATAGCCAGGAACTTTGCTAATATTTCACAAATATATTGCTATTTTTTTTCCTGATGGCACCTCACTTTCTAATGAGACAGGAGCCATCATGTTGCTAAGAGCCTACACCGATGGCCTGGATTTAGAAATAAATTTGCAATTATTTTAGTATTGCTTGGCTTTTTTAAATGAGCTCTGTAGGAAAACAGAGGCTTATTCTCTGGGGCACACACACACCCAACGAGTCATTTTTCACTTCTGAGATTGCTAAGGAGAATAGAGAGTGATTTGAGGAGTTAAGATGAATCATAGAAAAAGATTTCTTCTACTCACTTTACCATCATGCTGTGCATTTCTGCATCTATTTAAAAATTAACTTATGACCCCTTATTATAGATTACTCTCAGTCACGCACATAGCTTCTCTCTAAAACCATTATTATAACTTCTGTTCAACACACAAGTGGTTTTGACTTGTTAGTATGGACAGATCACAGGACTCTCAAGGAATATCAGGTTAGTTTTAATCTTTCACTATGGTCAAAATGGGATAAATGTGTGCTTGTGACTGTGTGTGCCTTGATTACATTTATTTGAAAATTATCAAACAAAACTTTGCCCAGGGCTTAGAGGAGTGTTCTGGGAAAAATAAATTCAGGGAAAATTATTTAGGAAATGCTTCGGAGATGACTATTCTTCTATATTTGTCATTAAGTCCTGGAGTAGCTTTGAAAAGCATTAGCAAATAACAATAGGTAATGTTAATCTGTAGTGCTTTTCTTTTTTTAAAAAAATATTTACTTTTTTAGTTTTTTTAGGTGGACACAGCATCTTTATTTTATTTTAATGTGGTGCTGAGGATTGAACTCAGGGCCTCACACATGCCAGGTGAGTGCGCTACCACTTGAGCCACATCCCCAACCCTGTAGTGCTTTTCTTATTAGACATTCCCTCTGAATCAATAAATTTCATTTTGTTGTTTTTCTAAGTTTGGAGGTAATCTGCAAGGCATGATTATGTTAGAATATCAGATTAATATTTTGAAAATTCTTGGCACTGAGTGTTGATTTGTTCTATGTTGACATTAAATTGCCACAAACTAGCCCTTGGAGCAGTTTGAGATAAAATTCTTGAAATTATAAATATATGTCCATGCTTCTACATATATCTGCATCTACATATGTATGTGAATTAAATTCATATTAAACATGGAGAAATATTATGGTATTAAAACATACAAAATGGCACACAACTAAAAATTTATAATAAAATTTTTTTTTGAGAGAGAGAGAAAGAGAATTTTTAATATTTATTTTTTAGTTGTCATCAGACACAACATCTATGTTTGTATGTGGTGCTGAAGATCAAACCCTGGCCGCATACATGCCAGGCGAGCGCGCTACCGCTTGAGCCACATCCCCAGCCCCAATAATAAACTTTTAATGCTACAAGAATATAATTGCATGTCATAGCGATATGAATGCTGTATCCATATGATACACAATAACATACCAACTCAGCCAAGATTTTAAATTTTTTCTATCAGAGTTATACTATCTAAAATTTTACCTATTTTTCCTTCCACAATTGATACATTATGAATACAAAATATACTAAGATTTTTAAATCACATAATTACCATATTTGTTTAATATATTTTTTATTTGGTTGCACTTTGATTATTACTGGCAAAAACAAAAGGCATCAAAGTAAGACATGTTCTCAAAATTTGTTGATGAGAGTGATTAAATGAGAGTGATTAAACATCATTTGATATTCTAGACTGGGAATTTTTAAGTAACACTCAATAATTGATTAACAGAAATTCAGTTGCTTTATATGATAAATATTTACTCACTATTTTAAAAGATTTTATTTATATTTATTAATCTTATAATATCTTTGAGAATTCTATAGACATAAATATTCCCTGCTAGGTATGAAAGATTAAAATGACTTTCTCAATGTCCCAACATTAAGAATGAAGTTAAAACTATTAAACTAGATTTTCTAATTTTCCAACAAATATCTGATTGAATCATTTGTTTTTTAAAGTAATATTTCTAAAAGGCAATAACTTTCATGGTTAATGATAGTGCTTTTATTGATTGTTTTAAAGAAATGTATGTCTACTACCTTCTATATTTTATTTGTGTTTAACCTTTGGAGATCTATTCACTTATTTTAAATTCAGTTTTGAAGTTTTCCAAGAAGCTTTGCTTGTTTGATTTACCCTATCTTTTTTCCAATAATCATAACTTATTAAAAGGCTGTTAGAATATTGGTATTAATGCTAATTGAGTATTAAACATAAATACTTATAAAATAATATTTGTATAGGGCATTTATATCTCTTTTTAAAGAGAGGTTTAAGAGAAATTTAAAAAATTAACCAATAACTGTTTCAACTTCTAAACAGGTTATGATATAAGACAATGTCCAATATTTGAGAATTCACTTAATGTGAGAGAAACATGGGATAGAATTAAATTGCCTGGTCTCTGAAAAGATTCTTAAGTTTTTCCTTATTTCTAATCTAATACTTAAAAATAAAATGGTAATTCATTTAGGTCATCAGTGGGGTAAAAACAATCCACTCTTTCCTTTACTCAAAAGATGTTTATAATAGTATACTTGTGCTGAAAAGCCTTTTCTGGTTGCTGCTAATTACATGTTGTCCATCTTAAAGTCTTTAAAAGGAATATGGGTATCTAATGACTTGTTAAATATTTTATTAGGTAAAGAACCCAAGAGGGTTTCTAGATTTGGAAAAATGCATATAAAAACACTGATTACATTTGTATACATTTTTCAATTTGAATCATCCTGTCTTCCAATGTTATTAGATTTCATCTTCAGATTATATCAATCAAATGATGCTATAGGGAATGTACAGAATTAATATTTTAATTGAAAACAAAATAATAATCTGTATGGGGGTGGGTCTAAGTATTTGTCTAGCTCTAATTATATTAGTAGTAACATTGTCATTTGATGACTAGACAACAGGTAATTAAAACATAAAATTAAAGCAAAGTCAAATCCTAACTTATAAAGGCAACGAAAATAAAGAGCATGGCATAACCCCATTAAAAAGTTACTAGAGCATTATAATAACATGCATTTCTAACAATATAATATGCTTAATTTTACTATATTCTAGATGACCAAGTGATAAAATCCTAAATCATAAACACATTTCAAAATGATTTTTCCTCATGAGCTTTATCTTGACAGTCCAAAGCTATTGTGAATGGGCATAGGAGGAAAGTCTATACTGGAAGATGATGAAAAATTACTATAACAGATTTTAAAGACTGTGGCCAGAATATCTTAGTAACTTGGGAACAATCAATTACAGAGAACAGGTCTACTCTATATTGTGTTACCTACACTGCCACCACATTTCTTACCAGATGAGTGTGGGCAGAATTTTTTAAAGGTAATATGAAGGGAGGTCTGGTTGAAATATCATAGTTCTTGAGAAAAAAAAGGCGATAAAGTACATTAATAATCATGAAGACAGCAACTGGTCCAAGCAGGAGCCTTTATCTAAGAGTTCAAAGGACGGATGAGAATTGTATTTTGCCTTGTTGACTTGATTGCAAGGTTCAAATAAGGTCACTTAGCTGAAAATACAGTACGTGGCTTATTATATTCACAATGTATTTTGGTGTTCATTCTAAAAATGAAATCTTCCTTGGATTTAATCAAGCAATATGAATCTTATCTTTAATGCTTTTCTTCTTTGTTGCTGATAAAAATTATTCCTGACGAGCACCAACAAGTCTTGAAATGTCACAACTCATTTTAGAGTGACACAGACCTCTTCCTCCTTCTAACAAAGTCCTCTGTGTGAATTAAGTTGGAAAGAGCCTTAGTGAGGTGACTATCTGATGTCTCAGTGCTGCTCCCAAAGTCATAGTTCTTCAGGCAAGGGCACAGGCAGCGAACAACAGCCCTGCGGATGTAGCTGTCAAACACGTAGTAAATGAGAGGGTTGACACAACTGTTGGCAAATGCCAACGGCCCACTCACCTCCATGCCCCGCTGGAGAAGAGCTGAAGAAAAATGGAGTTTTGGCTGCAATCCAGAAATAATGGCCAGGAGCTTGAAAGTATTAAAGGGTAGCCAGGAGAAGACAAAGGCTGTCACAACAATAAAGATGATCTTTATGGATTTTCTCAGCTTTTTGTTATGCTTTCCTGATTGCTGGTAATGGACACACAGCTTTGTTGTGATGCAACAGTAGCAGGTCACAATGCTCAGCAAGGGGACAAAAAAAGTGAATATTAAGGCTACCAGGGCCCATGTCAGTTTTTCTGAAGTAGCCCTCTTCTCAGCACAGTATGGCTTACCATCAATCAATGTAAGCTCCCTGGACAAAACAGTCGGTAACCCCAGAAGGCAGGAGACAAGCCAGACACAGGTACAGACTCCATATGCACAGTCTCTTCTTCTGAATTTTCTGGATATGGCTGGACACATGATGGCCAGGTACCGGTCAACACTCATACAAGTGAGCAAGAAGACACTGCAGTGCATGTTGACTGAGATCATGTAGGAGCTGCCTTTGCACAGGAAGGAGCCTGTCCTCCACAGTCCTAGAGATGCTTCCTTATCCACCCAGAGAGGCAATGTGACAAGGAAAATGAAGTCAGAGGCAGCCAGGTTGATGATAAAGATGTCAATTAATCGTCGGCTGCCACGTTTGAAATACAATGCACCAATCAGGATGAGGTTCCCCAATACTCCAGTCAGGAACACAGCTGTGTAAAAGATGGGAAGGAAGACAGATGTGTAAGGAATGTGGGAGTGGGTCTCCTTGCCATCAGAGTTTGGACTGGTAGCATAGTAATAATCCAAATAAACCGAGGTTGCTTCTGGGTCCATCACTGAAGATCAGATACCAAATCTGGTAAGTTCCCTTACCTAGAAGGTTTTGGTATGAATTTTAGAAATCTCAAAGGAGCTTCTTTTATATGGTGCTGTTTTTTTTTTTTTTTTCTTCCCTTTAAAGATTTTGGACAAGCATGAAAACAGATTTAAAAAAAAGTGCAGTTTCTACCAATCTTCAGAAAGGGCCCACAAGGAACACCACTCTGATTGGTTTTGGTTGGTTGTGGTTGTGGTTTTCTTTATTTGCACTTGCCCATGAAACTGAGTTGCTTTTTTAACTTCTTTATTCAACATATTTGTTTTTTTTTTGTTTAAATTCAGAAATTAAGAATTGAACTTTTAAATTCTCACCTCTTTTAAAATCTTTGCTTTTCTGACACTGAATTCTTTTGATCTAGCCTTCTGTTTCACCTTTAAGATACTCTTTTGCTTTTAGATCTGGAAGGTATTCATAATAAAGATACACTTTTGTGTTTGCTGTTGGTGATATATGAAGAATATTAGTCTTTTATTTCATAAAGAGTGAATTGCAAGCTTGCCAAGTCATACCAGTCTGCACTATGGCAAACATTATGATTGAAATTAGGGCATTAGAGCTTTCCTATTTTATTTGGCTTTCATTTCATACATAATCAACCAAGTCTGGTTCAATGATTAAAAAAAAAAAGAAATCTCCAAAAGCCTGCAATCTTTTATTTTTACTATTATTTCAAATTTTTCATCATAGCTAGCATAGTAACTCCTGCACAGTTGGTGCCTTGGGAATGTTAATTTATTATATTTGCTTCAGAAAATTCTCATTTTTGTGACCTAGTATAATTATAAATTAATTTGTTTGGCAGGCATTGTTATTTGTGAACCCCACATACACATTTAAAAATCAAAAACTGCTATTTTTACCCTCTTCTCTGATATTGTACCTCAACCAATGAAGTTCCCTTTTGTTAAGAGTTAACGCCCTTGAATCAATTTTTCTCCTACTAACCTTCAATAATTACCCTTCATCAGATTCCAGATTGCCTCTGACCTTTCCTTCATTATATCACACTTTTGTAGTGGTGAAATTTTTTTGGCTGTTCCTTAAATACCTCCACACATCAGCAAACCTCAGTTGTGGAACCACTGATCAGGCGGCAGACACAAGGTATCATAAATGAGCTGCCAACAGAGGCACTCTAAAAAGGGAAGATTTTTGGTATAATTAAAACATTTGAGAAACAGGATGAAACAGAAAGGACTCCATTCACAGAGTTTTCACGTTTTCTTTTATATACGAAGGCCATAGTAAAATTTAACAAAATTTGAAATTGTCTCTATTAATTTCATTTCTGTGCTGGCCAAATGGCTCAAGGTTCTCTGGTACCCCCTTTTCCTTCTCTGCATTTCATTTATTTATTTATTTATTTATTTTTTTAAAATATTTATTTATTTATTTATTTATTAGTTTTCCGCAGACACAACATCTTTGTTCGTATGTGGTGCTGAGGATCGAACCCGGGCCACACGCATGCCAGGCGATCATGCTACCGCTTGAGCCACATCCCCAGCCCACTCTGCATTTCATTTAATGTCCAAAATTCCAGTTTCAGGTGGGTATAACCATTACATAGAAGAACGTATGCATGTAGATAAAAATATAATTGTTAAACACTTAAAGTCTTTCCTGTAAAATTTTGATTTTTTTTCAGTAATTGGAATTTTGAAAAGAATAATCCTGCCTGTTGTACTCTTCTCTCCCTCCTGATGTGATACATTGTCATCTCAGTCACAAGCAAGAGAGGTAAGATTAGAAGAAGGATAAGGGGTCCCCTGACCTGGGACAGCCCCATGAAGTCACTCTGGAGTTGCTTTATGGACCTGGCCTGTCTTCTTTGGGCTATTCACTAATTCCAGTGTTGTTGTGGAGAGCAGGGGGTGAGGAGGGGAAGCATATCCTTCGCTAAATATAGACTGCAGATTAGAGAAACTAATTAATAGCCTTGACATTTCTGGGACAGAAATCTTTTCCACTGGGTAAGCCTTAATTATTTAACAGAATAATTCATCTGTCAAATAGTTTGAAGTAGGACAATATTTACTTGAAAAACATTAATAAAGTAACAAAATATTTAAACACTGTACTTACATGTAAATGTGCATGTGTTCAAGTGCCAATCATATACATTCTTTATTTGTAATTGTACTTTAATTGTAATATTAGAATTTTGCAATCAGAAGTTCTTTTGCTATTTGAAAAAAAAATAAGCTTGATTTGGGTCTAAGATTTTTTTAAATCCTTATGTCTCAAAAATTCCACATAAAAGTATAAAATAGAGAAGAGTTTATACTCATACTCTGGAGGAAAACATTAGATTGTGCATTCATTCTGTAGGCCTTAAAATTTCTTTTGCATTTCTAAAGTTGGGTGGCTGGTGATGTAAACTATCTCAAATAAATCTGACTTACTCAGCAGTTTATTGAAGCAGTTGTAGATAAAGTGGTGTGCTTTATCACATGCAGTTACTTTGAAGTAAGATATTTGGTGGTAAAAGCTACAATATGACTATATATATATCATGAATAGTTATAGACCAAAATTAAGAAACAAATTAACCATTTTTAGCCAAAAAAGGGACACAGAGCATGGTTCTGAGCTTTTCATAACTCTAAGTACAATATCAGTAAAAGAGAGAAGCCGCAGTATATGGTGGCTATATAAAGAAGGGGAGGTCATAGTTCAAAGCCGATTGCAAAGGCCATTTTTAAGACTATATGCCCTTGGATTCACACACAGATATCCATAGCATATGAAAAGGCAATATGAACAAGCTGTTAAAAAATTACAAATATTAGTTAACTCAATAACAGCCCATATGCCACTTCTTAAGAATTGTTTTCCCAAAAAAAAAAAATCCACTTAATTTTCCTCCCCAACCCCAGACAGAGATAATTGTTTCTACCTTTGAACTTTTAAAATGCTGCTTATAAAGTACTTATTATCTCTATCAGGTGGTTTGTTGTCTTGGCACCTGACCCCCTGAGCAGATCATGAGTAACTTAAAAGCAGGGCACATCTGTTCTCTCCCTGCTAAACTCTAGCAGAAGTCTTTATGGACTCTCAAAGTCATTGTTTGAACTGGTGGACGCCAGACCATATTACCCATTTTAGAGACCCTGGGACACCTACTAAAGTATACATTCACAAATCTTGTCCTTGATCTACAGAATCAGAATTACTGGGGACAGAGTCTAGGACTTTATATTTAACATGCATCGAACACACTAAAGTTTAGAATCACTGTTCTTAATCACCTAAATTAACCAATATAATGTGTTACGCTTTGGTATTAGTCTATTTTAAAGAAGGTTTAAAAATTACTTCAAAATTTGAAACTCATGAAAGTTTTTTACCCTTTATCTCACAATAATTTAGGAATTAATCTGGATTTCTGCACCCTGCCTATTGTATTTCCAATTCTTGATATATGTTCACAACTGGATCAGATGTTGTAGAAGAAGAGAAGTTTTCTTCATTGAGACATATGCCCAAGTGAATCTATTATCATCTATTACATGGCTGTAGCCTGGCTTTACAGAGGACAAAATATTGTACGAATAGAGCTAAACTGGTCAGGCTGTGATCCCTGGCATTGTGATTATATTACTTCAGTTTCTTCCTTATCATACAACTCTGACCCCATAATAAGGTGGAGAGTATATCACCAGATTATATGCACACAGGAAAGCAGAAAGAAATCTCTGGATTTCTTTTTCATACACACCTTTTGTTCATATACATACTGTGATATGTCTCATAATAAGTGGCAAAGAGTATGAAGCAAACTAATTATTTCTCATTAACCTTAGTAGGAAGACAGTGCAATTACACATGTATTTGTTAGTAAGAGAAACTCTTGTCCTATTGAGAATCATAATGTGTGAATCATTTAAGCAGTCCAGTTTGAGAAAATTATTTATACTGTAGGAGTTTAGTTGTTTTTTATTTCCACAGTTACTTGAACAATTTAGTACTATATAGTGTAATAACATATGCCAAATTAAATGGCATGTATTTGCTCTTATCAGTGCACCCTCTCTACTTAATTTATTGGATGATTTCCCATGTTAACTAATGTTTACATAAATAGCAATTATTTTTTCTAGTAACATATACTTAAGGATTCTTCATAAGAGTATATTCAATCTGGATTTATATTATGCATAACACAAATTATTTATTTATGTTGGTATCCCTGGCAACACAGCACAGTGTCTGGCATACAGACCTGGGCTGAATCATGCTTGAGTTCTGAGTCAAAAACCAACGAATAGGAGCTTTTGCAAACTTGTTGAGTAGCTTCTGTTTTCTGTTCAATCCTGGGGTCTTCATCACATCATAAACAAGTGTGGAGAGATGCTTCAAAGTTAGCACAGCATATTTTTGGTTATTTTATACCAACATTTCCACTTGGTGCATCTCGTTAGTATATCTACCATGGCCTCATAATAAATTTGATGGTGATGAGAAGATGAAGATCTTGTTTTAGTTTATAAATAAAGTAGTCAATCACATTAGTTCCTTATCTGCATTAAAGATTACCTTTTTGCAAAAATTTTGTTTAGGGACTCAGCATTAATATTTATAAACTAATAAATGACAAAATAAATCAAGAAAATATTTCCTTTCATAATTTCGGCCATCCCCATGATTGCTGTTCATGTTTGAAGGAGCAAGGGCTGTGATGTTCTTTATAATTAGAATGCATTATAGCCTTCCTCTTTTTCCTCTGTCCATCTGCATTTCTCATTATCTGTGCTGCTTGTATATTGCCTGCACTGGAAGTGTTGTATATACAAATTCCCTAATGAAACACTATGGCTATGAATCTATGACAACCATATTTTGTAGCCACATTCCTCTTCTTCCAGTGCAATTAAAAATCATATGTGATTTTAGAGCTTCAAGTGATATTAGTGATATCAGTATAACCTTTTTCCTAATGAGGTCACTGGAGCCCAGATAGACATCATTAACCAAAGACCCACGGTGATGATTTTAAAATAAAGGACAATTTGAATGTGAACTTCTCATGTACAAATGGTCATTCATTACTATTCAGAAGCAGGAACATCCAAACAACTATTGTTTGTTACACTTTGAGGCACCTAACAAGGTAGATTTTAGATAGATTTTTTGATGTGCCTTATCCTAGATTGATTTTTGCCATTGTTCTGTAGTGAATACATATAAAGGAATTCAAAGACTGATATAGGTTTTTGAGGATGGTTTTAGCTGGAACCCAGAGCTTGCATATACTTCTGTTTTCCTATGTTCTGAACTCCAAAATTCACAAGGAAAACATCTAGTACAAAATATAGGAAAAAACATAATTTTGATATATCTTTTAAAAATAATTTTTAGTTTCTAACAACAAGCAATTAAAAATTGAATCAAATTTAAGGATGCTAGGGAATTTGGTATTGAAGGGAATTCTTGTGTGAAGAATTGTTTCATAAGCACATAATAAAAACTGGTTATAAGTGTGGCAGTATGTATAAACGTGGCTGTATAACCAATGTGATCCTGCAATCTGTACACGTGGGAATAATAAGAATTCATACCCCATTTGAATCAAATGTATGATATATGATATGTCAAGATCAATGTAATGTTTTGAGCAACTACAAAATTTCTTATGTTTAAAAAAATAAATAAAAACTAGTTATAAATCCAAATACCCAAGTTTTCAGTTATTTGGTTTACTTAAATTGCAACTATATTATCTTCCTGCTAAATCTAGAAATATCTTTAACAAATTAAACCAGCAGCTTTTTTAAAAATAATTTTTAGTTAAAAATTCATGATTTCCTTTTTTTTAAAGAGAGAGAGAGAGAGAGAGAGAGAGAGAGAGAGAGAGAGAGAGAATTTTAATATTTATTTTCTTTTTAGATTTCGGCGGACACAACATCTTTGTTTGTATGTGGTGCTGAGGATTGAACCCTGGCCGCAGGCATGCGGGATGCGGGGTGAGCGCGCTACCGCTTTAGCCACATCCCCAGCCCCAAACCAGCAGCTTAATTCAATTTTGTTTCTAAACTAAATTTCATAATCTGTATATGATTGTATTAAATCATCTTTAACATTTGTAAAAATATAGGACCAGCTACTGTTTCATGAATAGCAGTATAGGAAAGAGAAACAGGAATTTAATTCCATTAATTTATTAATATTTATTTTATCCACCTACATATATTAACATAAATTAAGAAATAGAAGAAAAAACAAAGATGCAGGGGAAAATCTAGAAATACAATTGTGTGGTTGTGAGGATGTAACGTAGGTTTTCTGTGCTGAAATGGTCAGGATGGATGAAACCTCAAACATACCGACACTTCCATGCCCACACTAATTTGGTGACTGAAGTGTGTCCTGAGTGTTTTCTAGGCATTCTGCAGTCGTGAAGGGTGAAAGTATAATTCACTTCTGCATTTTCCTGCAGAAACATTTACTTCCTGAGCCATGATGTAGGCTATGAGCCCAAGGCTTGAATTTTCCTGATTATGGACAAGCAAGGATGGCACAAGGGCTGTCCTGACAAATCTTTCCCAGTTAATTGGCAATTAGTCCACGGGCTAACCAGCAGAAATGAGCAAAAACACCTACCTCTATAAATGGTTTATTTCCAGTTTTTAGGGGGAATCAGGGGGTTTGAAAATATCCTTATAAAGTCTTTACTTAAATATTGTAAGTATTCAACAAATATTTGCAAATAATAATAATTCAGTAATTCTTTACTGAGCCTCAGTTCCTGTGCTAGGCATTTTATATGTAATTTCTCATTTAATCCTCACAATGATTACAAGAAATAACTGTTGTCAAAAAAAATCCCTATTTTGGAAAAAAGACAACCAAGACTTAGAGATAGCTAAGTAAATTGTCCCAAGTCACAAAACTAATTTACTTAGCCAAATGCTCAAGTTTACCAGTTCAGTTATTCTCTCTGGGCCTCAGTTCCCCTATCTATAAACTGAGGTTTTTTTTTTTCCTTTCTTTTCTTTTAAAATTCCCTTTACCTGGGTTTATTTTCCATGTGGACTGCAGTGGAGAGGTAGGTCCGAAAGTAGGGGATTTCTAATCAGGGACAAAATGAAGGCATTTTGTGGTGCATAAATGCAATCACAAGTCTTATTACACATTAACTATTTGTCTATGCACCTCTACCATTTTTCTAGCTGATGCCTGTAACAAAATTATTTCCTGATTAGATGCTATACATGACATTTCAGTATATATTATAATATTTGAATATTATAATATATTTGGCTATTTATTTTATTTAGCTAATGAGTATGTATTATCAGTTTACCAACTCTGGTGAAAGAAACATCTACAATAGAAAAACAGATATACCTTCAATTTTTCAGGGTGGGAGAAATTTGACCTCAAGTTGGCTCTTCCATTTTTCCTCTGTGAAGTGGCTAAGTTCCAAGTCATTGGTGGTAAAGAGGGGCTTCAGAAGATACTCTGCTCCTTGATTCTGATGCCCCTACAGTGTTGTGAAACTGGTCATTTGTTGGTCTCGGGCCTCACTTATGGATCCATAAAAGTTATTACCAAGATTACCCTGATGATGGAGTCCCTTGATTTTTGGACCACAACTGAGAACTGAAGAAAATTTTGATGCACACCTGTAATCCCAGTGGCTCCAGAGGCTGAGGCGGGGCGGGGGGGGGGGGATCTCAAGTTCAAACCAAGCCAAGCCTCAGTTATTTGGTTTACTTAAACTGCAACTATATTATCTTCCTGCTAAATCTAGAAATATCTTTAACAAATTAAACCAGCAGCTTAGTTCAACTTTGTTTTTAAACTAAATTTCATAATCTGTATATGATTGTATTAAATCATCTTTAACACTTGTAAAAATATACGACCAGCTAATGTTTCCTGAATAGCAGAATAGGAAAGAGAAACAGGAATTTAATTCCATTAATTTATTAATATTTATTTTATCCACCTACATATATTAGCATAAATAAAAAATAGAAAAAAAACTAAAGATGCAGGAAAGAGAAACAGGATCTCAAGTTCAGACCAAGCCTCAGTTATTTGGTTTACTTAAATTGCAACTATATTATCTTCCTGGTGCTAAGCAACTCAGAGAGACCCTGTCTTTAATTTAAAAAAAATACAAAATAGGGCTGGGGATGTGGTTCAGTGGTTGAGTGCCCCTGAGTTCAATTCGCGGTAACACCACCATTCTAAAAAAAAAAAAAAAATTAAAACAGAACAAATATGTATCTGGTTCATGTTGATAAACTTCTGTGCAATACTCAGTTTAAAATCATTCTGTTGCTTCGATGCCACACAATCTCCAAGGCTGTCCATGACCTCACTACTGAAGATGATGTTCCCTAAGCTTCAGTCTTATTCATACTATTTAGATTTTTTAATCATTTTTTGACACATTATATCTTCAATATTTAATATTTTAAGAAATCAACTGAAATTTATATTTAAAAAACCTTACCACAATAAAAAATAAATATAACTTGTCATAAAAAGAAAGCAGCCAAAAACATATATATATATATTTTTTTTGTAATCTAAATAACATCTTTATATTCTAGACGCATAATATCGTCCAGGACATATTCTTTTTTGTCTAAATGTAAACAAGCCAGAAAGATCTGCTCCCATGTGGTTGTGGGGCAGTGGGAAAAAGGGGTTAACATTTCAGAAGTAGAATCCCTCTGCTGTTCTTTTATACAGTACTTACTTTTGGAGGAGGATGGTAAAATAGTGAAAACACAGGACTCAAAGCAGACCTTAGTTACATAGGTCACAATCATTGCGTAGCTGCGACCCAAGAGAGGCCGCCTTCCCTCCTAGACATTCACCCATTCTCTGGTTGTGAGACCTCCGCTGGGCACACCGCCTAGCCTACCCAGCGGAACTACATCCCCCACAATGGGCCGCGCGGCGCCCGGCGTGCCCTCCGCCGCCTTAGGCAGCTTTGCCTCCGTCCTTCCTACAAATCCCACAAGTCCCCTTGGCTCGGGGCTGCCGCCCGGCCCGGGGTGGAGGCGAAGGCGGAGGCGCGGGAGTTATGGTGGGGGCGGGCTCTGTAGGGAAGTGCGTCAGAGGAGGCGCGGGGAGAGTAGGGTGCTGTGGTCTCTGTTGAAGGGTGAAGCTGGCGGAGCAAGAGGATGGGCGGTGAGTGAGCGGGGCCGGCGTCGCCCGCGGGGGTCGCGTCGCCGTTCGGCGTTCCCGGCGGTTTGAAGAGGGGCTCCTTTCCGGTGTGGCGCTGGGGATGGGCGGGTTCTGATAGGTGCACCGTGGCGGGGGATTTCCCAGGGTCATGCAGTGTATGGTCGGGGGGGAGGCGCTGGTCAGGTACCTGGGCCCTAGGCTGGGGGCGCCCTGAGCTGCCCCGCCCCGCCCCGCTCCAGTCTGCGCTTGCCTGGGCCTCCTTTGGCTACGGGGTGCCGCCCCCGGGGCGACCGCGTCGGGCGGACAAAGAATCACAGCTCCTTGTACCGGGACCCTTTAAGGTCATTTGAGAGCACCAGGATGAAAGGGGATTTAAAAAAAATCAAAATACACATCCAAGTTTTGAGATATTGTTATATACCGCAATTGCGCTGATCTTACTGAGTCACCTCCCAGCTTCCAAACTCAGCAACGCCAGTTTGCGAGCCTGTTTTTGTCTACCTTTGTAAGGTGTTTGGTGCCGTCTTGGTATATACTTGACAGTATTTGACTCAGCGTGATCGGACAGTCCGCCTTGAGTCATTTTCCGCGGCCATTTACTACTGCCATAGAGCCCTGTCCACGCCTAGGGAGTGTTCGTATTTTGCCCAGTTCAGAGTTTTCTTTCTTGCTGGGAAGGGATCTTTTGGTTTTTATGGATCCACGTTGTACTTCAGGATTTAGGGAAATACCAAGGTTGCAGTTGAGATTCAGAATAAGGACTGGGGAGACTAGATAGGAGCGGAGTATTTGCCAGTGTAAAGAAGCTTGGCTTAACTTTAATGTTGGGGAGATTGCTATTTAGTATTATTATATGTTATTGTTCTCTTTGCTATTGCATACACCTATAACAACCTTTCCCACTGGGTTAACATCTTCAACTCTGATTTCCAAGTGGTTCCTGATTGGGAGGCTTCGCTTTTCAGAGGAAACTGGGAGGAGCCAGTTTTTAGTGCTGCCTTTCCTTCTGTCTTTTCCCACACTCAAACCCAGGACATTTAAAGCTAGTGTAAAAATCAGCCTGATATTTAAAATGTGTGCACGGTACACTGCTGACCATGGGCATGTCTATTGTTTGTATCTGTAATGTGTATGTCCATTTCAGTGTTGTCTGTTTTAGTATGCAGGTGATAGACTAGAGAACAAGACTTCTGTCTCCGTAGCATCCTGGGTATGTGAGCATTAAATAAGTATTTTTATGAGAATGAGTTTTGTTTTAAAGTTATGTTTACTTTTTAAAATTTTTCAATTCCTTATGATTATACATTACTTTTAAGAAACAAGGGATGGGGAATAGGGTAAAGGGTGATTTCAAGATAATTTCTTTCAAAATAATCTTTCTTATTTGTTCTTGAAGTCTAATTTTTCTTCTTTCTTCAACTTTTAAACAGAGCAGTCTGAATGCCAGAATGGATAACCGTTTTGCTACAGCGTTTGTAATTGCTTGTGTGCTTAGCCTCATTTCCACCATCTACATGGCAGCCTCAATTGGCACGGACTTTTGGTATGAATATCGAAGTCCAGTTCAAGAAAATTCAAGTGATTTGAATAAAAGCCTCTGGGAAGACTTCATTAATGATGAGGCAGATGAAAAGACTTATAATGATGCGCTTTTCCGATATAGTGGCACAGTAGGATTATGGAGACGGTGTATCACTGTACCCAAAAACACACATTGGTATGCTCCACCAGAAAGGACAGGTATTCTTCTATTTCAGTTTCTCTCTCCTTTTCCTACACAATCACAGACAAAATCTCCCAATGATTTCCCAATTGTGTATTGGAAAGAAATAAATCTTATGTGTTGCTTCTCTTCCCACCACCTTCTTTTCCCAATTTCTATTCATTTTCATATTACTTATTAATAATTGGTTAGATGAGTAACTTTGTATTTTTGGAAAGCCACTTTAAATTGTTTTATTTGCTAACTCATTAAAATATTTTTAATCTCACATGTTATGAGAAAATAGTTGGAAAAGTAGATTAGAAGGCTTTAAATATTTGGTAATTGGTAAGAGGACTAGTATCCAAAATCAGTTCAATGTTTATTGATTGTCCTTTTGGCTTAGCTATGTTAAAGTGAATATCCTTCATCTGTCCTATACTTAGAGGACAAAATTTGACCAGCTCTACTTTTAAATCTGTATATATTTGAGACTATTTTAAAACAATATTGTTATACAAGTTGTAGGTTAAAAAGTTTGAATTATAGAGGCTGGGGTTGTGTCTTAGTGGTAGAGCTTATATGAGACACGGGGTTTGATTCTCAGCATATAAATAAGTGAATATAAATACATGAATAAAACAAAGGTCCATCAATATCTAAAAATATTAAAAAGAAAGTTTGTATTAGAGAAAAAAAATCTTAAGTTGATTCTCAGTTTTATTTAGCAAACATTCTTAACATTTAAAAGATTTTAATTTCTAGTGAAATTAGAAGATTTAGAGCTCTTTGTAAGGAACAACTCCCCCCCCCCCCATTTATGGTAACTTCTGTTTAGTGAGGAAGCAGTGTATTTAAATCGTAGCAGAACAAATTTGAGTTATATCAGAAGAATGATAGTATGTCATGAAAAAAAGGAAATAGTATGTAAAAAATTGGTTAAAATTCACTGTACTCATGAGGACACAGGAGCACTTGATATTGGAATTCTACCAGTTCTTTCGTTATTCAACAAATATTGATTGAATGCCTCTGTGTTCCAGGGCCTCAGTTTGGAGGACCAAGTATTCCAAAAAAGGGATGAGAAGCAAGAATCAGAATCACAAAGTACAGCACTATAAACAGAATAAATAATTACATAGTATGTTGAAAGATGACATGGCTGTGGAAAAATAGAGCAAAATAAAGGGGATTTTTGTAAATATGAGGGGAGGAGAATATTGGAGAATATTAGTGAACGTAGATTCTGATTTTCAAAAGGATGGCACAAGCTTCATTGAGAAAAGAAGATGTTGGTAAAGACTAGAAGAAAGAATTAGCCACAAAGGGTAATCAGAATTTGTTGAGGGAATCATTTAGGTTGAAAGGAACAACCACTGTAGAGGGCCTGCTGCAGGAGCATACTTGAGATGTTCAAAGACCAGCAAGGAGTCCACTGGCTGGATCAGAGTTATGGGCAGAGTTGGTTATGCTGTCAGAGACAGATTGTTGGGAATGGTGTAAATTCTTTAGGACTCCAGGAATATTGAGGACTTTAGTTTTTTAGTACAATAGGGTGCCTTTTGAGGGGGCTTTGAGCAGTAGAGAGACATGATCTGGTCACCCTGGCTGATATGGTAAGAACAGATAGGCAGCAGGGAGGGTGAAAGCTAGGGGATTGGTCAGGAGGTTGTTGCATTTATTCAGGTGTGCAATGATTGTGAATCAGACCAGTGAGGTGACATTTTTCCTGAATTTGATTTGAAGGAAGATCCTCTAGGATTTTCTGTTGGAGTGTATATGAGCAAGAATGATTAAAAGTTTCCTGTCTGAGGAACTGGAAGGATAGATAGAATTGTCACCCCCTGAAATGTTAACCATTTTGGGGAGAAGATCAAACTTATTTATTTCGTTCTTTGTCCTCTCTCCCTTCTTCCTCATCTTTACATACTATTCTGCTACTTATTTCACTCCCTTTCTCTGAATCTCAATCTCTCTCTCATATATATATATATGTGTGTGTGTGTGTGTGTGTGTGTGTGTATGTATGTATATTTATGATGGAAGAATGAGGAAGATTATATGTGTGTGTGTGTGTGTGTATATATATATATATATATATATATACACACACACATATGCATATGTATATTTAATATTTAATCTTCCTCATGCTTCTATCTTCAGCCTATCACTGAGAACCAGGGGCATCCATTGGCCATCAAAGGGACTGGTATGTTACTCATGGCTCAAAAAATAGCTTACTCCTTGGGAACATCTTTTCTACATCACTTTATACTTCAGAGGATATTTAATGAAAGAGATTATGGTGAAATGTTTATAATGAAAACAACAAGGAATCATTGTTCTTGTTCCAGAGTCATTTGATGTGGTGACAAAATGCATGAGTTTCACATTAAATGAGCAGTTCATGGAGAAATTTGTTGATCCTGGAAACCACAATAGTGGAATTGATCTACTTCGGACCTGTGAGTACTTTGATCTCAGCAGGACAATTGGGGAGGAAAAGAAATAATTTTATTTGTGTTTGGTTGAAATGTATTTCTGGAATATGATGTGTCAGTAGATAGTATGAACTTGGAATAAATTCTCTAACTCTATTCCAATGATGTTCTCTTTTGTTGATAATATATTTTAGAAGGTAGAAATATACTTAACAAATTTCAAATGATTACAAGTTCAGGGAGGTAGCTAATATATTGGATGATGAAATCTGGATATTCCCAGGATGTTATAGGCCCATTTTATTAAGAGGAAATTTACCAGGGGTTAAATAATAAATTGAATTAAACACTTATACTACCTATGTTCAATAGTCATGTGAAAAAAAAGTTAACTGCAAGCTCTAAATTGATCACTGAGTATCAGGTCTGTCAAAAGTGTTTATTTAATCTTAAGATGGTGGGGTGGTGGTAACAAAAGTATAGATGTTTAAAAAAAAAAAGTGTTCATTGTGAACTTTCTATTCCTTGATGGCCAGGCTGCCCATGAAGTACTGTCTTTAGATTTGAATTTCAGTTTTTAGAATATTAGAGACTTACTAGTGCTTTCCCCTAAGAATGACCATTTTTATGAGAGGAAACTGAATAAACTCCAGGTATTCAATTTTGTAATGAGAATGCCTAGGCAGTAGTTTATTATCAGAGTTTAAAGAGAGGTTAGTTAGAAAAAACTCCTGTATGAAGTTTGAAAAAATTAAAACTAGTACCAGAAAGTAGAACTTGACTAATATTGATATTAATACATTTACTAATAATTAAAATTATCTGAAAATGGACTGAGATGCTTTGTGAGACCTATCACTTTTTTTTAATGTTGATAAGAAAATTTATTGTGATTAAAACTGCATTGAATGCCTGGTGTATTCCAGATCTACTCTATGTATTTTCTTTTCATGTGTTATGTATTTTCTTCCAATAGCTTTGAAGACAGGTCATTTATAATTTCCATTCCTTTACTTGTTATTCCTGCCTTAAATCTTATAAGGAGGCTGGGCCTGGTGGTATATGCCTGTAATTCCAGCTATTGGCTGAGACAGGAGGATTGCAAATTTGAAGCCAGCCTGAATAACTTAGTGAGACCTCTCTCAAAAAATAAAAACAAGGGCTGAGAATGTAGCTCAATGTTAGAACACCCCTGAATTTAATCTCTGATATAGGGGGAAAAATCTTGTAAGGACTTTAATATCAGCTCTGTAGTTTTAGACTATTTTTTTTTTTCCTGCAAATCCTGACTTTCCTGCTTCCTGTCTCACTTTTGAGAATTATTTATTCTGAAGTTATTTCTTCAGTTATAAAATAGAAATACTAATAGTATCTTATCTAAAGAGTTTTGGGGAGGATTAATTCACAAATCATGTGTAGAACAAACATTATATGGCATATAAATAGTTTGTTTTAGCAAAGAGGTCTCAATATTAAAATACTACTTCCTCACTTTTGGAGAAAGGATCTAATTAGAATGTAACAGAAATTACCATTATGGGAAAATGGTCTGAAATCATGGTAACATTTCTATTCTTTCTCTCCTTTTTAAAACCAGATCTTTGGCGGTGTCAGTTCCTTTTACCTTTTGTTAGTTTAGGTTTGATGTGCTTTGGAGCTTTGATTGGACTTTGTGCTTGTATATGCCGAAGCTTGTATCCCACAATTGCCACAGGCATTCTCCATCTCCTTGCAGGTGGGTCTTATTGTTATATTTAACCTTTAGCTTCTTCTGTCTCCTTAAAGACCAAAAAGTTATAATTCATAAATATTCACATATTACTGCACTGTCATGTTGCCTAAAAACTCTTTGCTGTGTTCTTACCCAGCTATGTTTTGTTTTCTAAATTTCTCCCCCCAAGGTTTGTGTACACTGGGCACAGTAAGTTGTTTCGTTGCTGGAATTAAACTACTCCACCAGAAACTAGAGCCGCCTGAGAATGTGTCTGGTGAATTTGGATGGTCATTCTGCCTGGCTTGCGTTTCTGCTCCTTTACAGTTCATGGCTTCTGCTCTGTTCATCTGGGCTGCTCACACCAACCGGAAAGAGTACACCTTAATGAAGGCATATCGCGTGGCATGAACAGGCCTGCTTTACATTTGCTGTTTTAATATTTTTGATATCTATGTTTTCCCTTGCATCCCTCCCAAATGTTTTATTTTTTATTTTTTTGTGGATATACCATTTTATCCTGAAAATCCATTTTATTTAAATACACACACATGACTAAATATACAATAAATGCCACTAAAATTTATGTGGTTTACTCAGTGATTCCATTTCTCAAACTAATTTAGGTTCAAAATCTAGTCAGAAAGAAAGAGGCTTGACACAAATTTGTGACAGAAAATCTGCAATAGGAAATTGACCCAGGGCAAGTTCTGCTTATGTCTATTAAGACTTTTCACCAAACGTACAGTAACTATCTGTTGAACCAGAAATAAATTTCTTTGGTAAACCTCTTATTGTCAGAACTTTGCTGTTGTAGATAGCCAGTCAGCCAGGCATATTATTGCTGTTTTAAAAAATTTAAGAGTTTCATAAAATTGGAAAATTACCTAAGATCCTTTTCTGTAAACTTTGGCACATAGCTTCATCTGAGGTGAAATATGGCAGCTGTCTATATTTACACCATGTCTGTCTACAAGAAAAGAAGTGAAAAATATAGTGTTTACTTGAAATTAAACTTTATAATTGCGAAAGTTCCAATTCAGTGAGATAAACGGGTTAATTTTACTTTATTGTATTACTGTTTTTTAAAACTCCTTTATAGGATTTTCAGTATCACCAAACCATTTTTAATTTTTTTCTTTCTTCCACACCAGGCTTATTAAAAGAGTGCTTTCTTTTTAACATTGTTAGGATCACAGAGTAAGAAATTTCCCAACTGCTTTCTGTTTATTCCAGCTAAGTACCATAAAGAAGGTTCTACTATAAAGAGCCTACAGAGCTGGGAATACTACCACAAGATCTAAAGCTGTGGCTGTCAGTTTAAACTCCAACTATGGTCTCTATTTCTTGTGGTGAAATGACGTGCCTTTCCTTGCCTAATCCCTGGTGTATATCATCATTATTTAATGTCTTCTAATTCATTCATTTTTTTATAAATATGTCTATAAACATTGAACTTTAAAAAAAAATCTTATTTATTTATTCCATTACTGTAGCATTTGACAGATTTAAAAAAAAAATTGTACCTTAGTAATTTCTTACCATATCCTAAGTCTGTCTTTTTTAAAAAATAAAAATGAGAAGAGACTCCAAAGAATTGTGTATCGAGTGAATTGATTTAAATCTTAGTACATTGGAATGGTTCTCTGTGAAAAATGCATTATTACTCTTTAGACTTGTCTTTATGTATTATGTTTGGTTTTCTGTTTCAGAAAATGTGGCAGCCTCCTCCATTAGAAAATAAGTCAATCTTTGTTCAGAATCTTTGTTTTCAAACTAGTTTTGTAAACTCTACACATCATTTAATGTGACTAGTTTCCTATAAAGTTATTTATTAGTGGATGTTTGTATTCTATATTAAATAACTTCTGACAATAAGGTCAGCATTGCTCAGTAGCAAATTACTGTGAAATGGCTGGTTACTCAGGTTTCTGCCTATTCTTAATAGTTGATGTTTCATTGCTCTCCAGCATCTGTGGAGTGGATAGGAGAAAAGCTAAGTGAACAAACCAAACCCTTGGGAATGGGATTTAAAAATTATTGGCAGCATGACATTTTTGTATTAGGAAGTTATTTTAAACAGTTTTTCTGTCTCTTTACCCCCAGAGTTATCTGTGCCTATCCACCTAAATCAGTCTTTAATGTGCACTGTGGAAATGAAGTGAGAATTGGACTGTTAGTTTCAGCCTCAGGGTAATAGTTTTGAATTTGGAAAGATAGCACCATAATCTCTGTTGCTGAATATATGTTGTAATTAGGACTTTTAGCACATTGCAGAGTAGCTGAGGCTGTGCTGTCTTGCAAAAACTTTCATTTCTCTGTAATACATAGGACCATATTATTTCATTTAATGTGAAAAAAGTTTTTCTAATAATGTTGAACCATATGAAATTGCTGATATCCAACCATTTATACCGTTTTTTTTGGACTGGGGATTTAACTTAGGAGTGTTTTTCCACTGAGTTTCATCCTCAGCCCCTTTTAATTAATTTATTTTTTATTAATTTATTTTCTTTTTGAGATAGGTTCTCATCAGGTTGCTTAGGGCCTTGCTAAGTTGCTGAGGCTGGCTTTGAACTTGTGATCTTCCTGCCTCAGTTGGGATTACAGGCATGTGCCACCATGTCCTGCTGATATCCAACCATTTTGATCAATCTAATAGATAAAATCAATGGCAAAGTAAATTCTGTTAATGTTCTCCATTTAGTCTTTGAAAAAAACCAAACACTTTTTAAGACACAAGTTTTGTGGCAACTTAAGAAATGTTTTAAAGCATTAATTTTATGGTTCCTAGTTGATTAAATGATATGGATAAATGTCTTCTAAATGCTTTTTTAGTAAAATGTACTTCAAAATTTGTTAGCACCCAAAATTGATATAATAAAAAAGACTAATTCTAGAAGAGTTCATTTGTTCAGTTAATACTTAAGTCACTGACTATATCATAATACACTAGAGTCTTAAAAATCTAATAGTATTGTGTTAAAACTTGTTCTAAGTGTTAGGGGCTGTTGTATATACATGTCGTAGGAGGGAGGATAGAAATTAAGAAATGACTTACAGATGTATTCTTTTACATTTGCTCACATGATTGAGAAGAATGAGTTTAAAAATCAATTTAGAGTTTGACTTTTTTCATTCCAGAAACATCACCAAATTGCAGCCCATCACTGTTAAAACTTGCAAAGCTAGTTATGTTCACTTGACTATAAGATACTCAATAAGAGGACTTTTCAACATTTAATCCTCAGGTAAGCTTTTACCTAAACTGAAAACTTGTTGAATTAACCAAATTTGGCCAACTACATTTCTGAAGTTTCCCAGTAAATGGGTAAAAGCTCTGAAGGTGCCAGTTATTTCACAGATGAGATGCAGGTCTTACCTGGCACAGACAGGTGGAGTATTTTGTCCTTTCAGGACTCTTCTCATAAGGGAATGATAACTCCAACCTTGAAAAGAAAGAAGTAAACCAAGGGAACACATCTATGTGTAGGAGTTCTTTTCTCTATTGTTCATTATGTGTTTTGACGTCATTTCAATCAGATACATTTTCCCATAGGGTCAGATTACAGATAAATGCAGTGTCCTGCAAATTCATAATGTAGAAATCATAAAATGCAAGAAAAACAACAAAAATGATTACCCCTATTGTTTAGAAGAAGTGTAAGTCTTTGATAATGTCAGATATTCTGTTAGCAAAATCGGTACATTATTTTACTTTATTTTACATATAAGTATTAACACATCATCAGGAAATTTGTATATATAAGATCCAATTTATATTACTTTCTATCTATTTTTGCAGAGGCTTAAAAATGTGTAATAAGAAAGAGAGTCTGTTTTTGTGTTTTGTTTGCAGTGCTAGGGTTCAAACCCAGGGCCCTGTGCAGGCTACGCAGGCACTCTGCCACCCAGCTATATCCCCAACCCTTCTTTGTCTTTTAAAATAGCTGAATAACTGAGTAATAATGCATCATGTTTTATCTACTACTGACTCAGTGCTGGTGTTTCAGGGTGTGAACTTTACCTCACCTGTCCTGCAACTTTTTATCCCTCCCAGTCTACACAGCATTCTGTTCTAATTTGTCTTAGCCTGTCATCATATGTTTATACACATCTGTGATTCTCTTACCCCCATAATCATGGTGTCTTCCTACAAAACTCTTAGCCTTATATTCATATACTGTGTTCAGTTTTCTTACTCCTGTCTCAAAATACCAAAAGTGCCTGTTCAAAACTAAAAGCTGTTCTATAAAATTATGTTTCTTATTAATAACTGCTTGAGAAGTATAATAATCTCTGTTTATTATTCCCTACCTCACATTTTTCAAATCTCTTTATAAAAGTTCTTGGAAACTTAATTCTTCCTCAACTTCCAAGGGAAGAATTTATACCCTACTTAAGGAAATCTTAGAATAAATTCTTCCAGTATCTCCAACCCTTGCTTGCACCTTATAAAATAGGGAATATATTGTTACCTGATTGGAGAGATTGCTGGGATCAGGGCATCCACTGGAGCAGAGTATATAGTGGTTAAATATTAATATACCTGTCTTACAGAGTTGTGGTGACGAAGATTGCTTAGCATAAAGTAGTCAATCAAAAATGCTAGTTATGACTGATTACATTATAAGGTGATAGGGTTACCAAGGCTATTAAATGGTCCTCTTCAGCCTAGACTGCATATTAGAATTTCCTGGACAACTTTAAAAATTAGTCATGTGTCATAGAATTTGATTTAGTTGGCTTGGGTGATGGTTAGGTTTTTTGCAATTTTTTCAGCCTTTTCAAATGATTCCAGGGGGCAACTGTGTTTGAAAGGTACATTTCAAAGCACTAGGATTTTCTCTCTCTGGGCAGATTGTTAGAAAGACAGTGGAGTAAATAGACCTGGCATCGTGCCTGCCTAGGGAGCAAATGTATCTGGCATAGTGCCTGCCTTCTAGCAGCTACTTCTGTCTTGTGCTTTCTAGCACTTTTTACTGATATTGACTGGCCCTTTGAGACAGATCCTGATTCATTATACTTCTGCTGCCTGGAAATGTCTATTGTGATTTGGATGTGAGTTGTCCTCTAGAGCTCAAGTGTGAGACAATGCAAGAAGATTCGGAGAAGAAGTGATTGGGTTATCGCAGCCTTAACCCAATCAGTGAGTTAATCACCTGATGATATTAAGTGGTAACTAAAGGCAGGTGGGGTGTGGCTGAATGAGGAGGGGCATTGAGGGCATGGCTTTGGGGTATGTACTTGTATCTGGCAAGTGGCTTTCTGATCATCATGTGAGCTGCTTGCATCTGCCATACTCTTCTTGCCATGATGTTTAGCCTCACCTTGAGCCCTGAGGCATGGAGTCTGGTGTCTGGATTGAGACCTCTGAAACTCTGAGCCCCCAAATAAATTGTTCCTCCTCTATAGTTCTGGTATGGTCCTTTAGTCACAGCAGAAAAAAGCTTAATAAAACATCTATGAAGTTGGCCTAATGCAGACCTGTTATGGTTTGATTCAGGAATGAATTCCCAAATGCTTACATCTTGAAAGCATGTTCTTAAAGCAACAAGGTTCAGAGGTGAGGTGTTTAGGTAATGA